AAACATGTTTTAAATCAGAAAGTATTGCAGTTGATTTATAATACCCTAATTTCGCCATATTTAAATTACGGTTCCGAAATATGGGGGAACACTTATAAGTCCACGCCTCAACAAATGTTTATACTCCAGAAGAAGGCAATTAGCATAGAAAATGGTGTAGATTATTATGCACAAACAAATTCACTATTCATTAGATTAAATACCTTGAAATTACAAAACTTAGTCAAACTAAATACTGCAGCACTCATGTACAGAACTACACCGAGAGAACCGCACCATGACAGAGGGAAGGATCTGTACCATAAACCCAACACCAGGACAGAGGGAAGGATCTGTACCATAAACCCAACACCAGGACTAATATTAAAAACCACTGTATCTCATTTAGAAGAGTTGATTTATGGAACAAACTCAATAACCAGTTAAAGGTACAACCACATCCATAAAAGTGTTCAAAAAAAGTATAAAGTATAAAGCAAGTGTAATTGATACTTATAAAACTTTAGAATGATGCCCTTTTGGGACAAACTCGATCTATGTGTATGTAAGTTCATTAATGCATATTGTATATATGTGTGTGTATGTGTATGTGTGTATGTATAATTATATATATATATATATATATATATATATATATATATATATATATATATATGAATTTATATATGAATTTATATATGAATGTATATGTGGGCATATATGTGTTGTTTTGGTTTTTTTTCTTTTCTTTGTCTGGTTCAGTCACTTATTCCTGATTCTACCAAAATCCCCAGAGCTCCATTCTCAGGTCAGTTTGAGAAATTATCTCAACAAAAATCTGGTTTGGTAGTTCCTCTTGTGTCATCGCTCCAGCTGCACTGACACATTGAGAATGAGGGTACACATGGTGTGGGTCTGTAGAGGAGGAGGGTACACATGGTGTGGGTCTGTTGGTAGAGGAGGAGGGTACACATGGTGTGGGTCTGTTGGGTAGAGGAGGAGGGTACACATGGTGTGGGTCTGTTGGGTAGAGGAGGAGGGTACACATGGTGTGGGTCTGTTGGTAGAGGAGGAGGGTACACATGGTGTGGGTCTGTAGAGGAGGAGGGTACACATGGTGTGGGTCTGTTGGGTAGAGGAGGAGGGTACACATGGTGTGGGTCTGTTGGTAGAGGAGGAGGGTACACATGGTGTGGGTCTGTAGAGGAGGAGGGTACACATGGTGTGGGTCTGTTGGTAGAGGAGGAGGGTACACATGGTGTGGGTCTGTTGGTAGAGGAGGAGGGTACACATGGTGTGGGTCTGTTGGTAGAGGAGGGTACACATGGTGTGGGTCTGTTGGGTAGAGGAGGAGGGTACACATGGTGTGGGTCTGTGGGTAGAGGAGGAGGGTACACATGGTGTGGGTCTGTGGGTAGAGGAGGAGGGTACACATGGTGTGGGTCTGTTGGGTAGAGCAGTGTTTTTCAACCACTGTGCCGCGGCACACTAGTGTGCCGTATGATATTGTCTGGTGTGCCGTGAGAAATTCGTCTACTTTGTCTAAAAATAACTGCATTCGCTGTTGACGAGCGGTCGGTGACTTGTTTTGAACTGTGGAGTAACCATGTAATACTTTTTCAAATCAGTAGATGGCAGCAGATAGCTAAGTACTTTGAAACTGAAAAATTGGATGCGACCACTGGCTGTAACAGGTCAGCATTGTGGCGAGAAAGGTAAAATTGGATGCGACCAACAAATGTGGGAGGGAGCGAGACAAGAGCTTTGTGGCGAGTGAGAAGTGAAAGTGATAGAGACGTTTTTGAAAATGAATTATGCCGTTTCTGAACAGGATTAACATCCTCCGCTCTGCCCCGGGGCAGCTGTGGCCGCGTTGTAGTGGTTTAACCGTGAAATGTAAAATTTTTGTACAACAGCTCTCGCGAACGCACTTCTGAACTGGGTACTGAGCGCAGACCATAGTCGAGTGGACAGAACCACAGACATGCGGACCGGACAGAACCATGGACTCGCGTTCAGGACCTCCCGTGTCCCTCATCCAAAACTCCTGAATTTAAAGCTCGGATACCTAAATTTTTCCCATGCACTAACAATGCATGTTCTTTGTGTGAGTTATTATTTGACTATTTGGGCAGAGAGTGGATTTTCTTAGTTTTTTTCCACACAGTTAGTGCCACTTTATTCCCAAACTCTTGTTAATTGTATCGCGAAATATTAAATAAAGCTTAATGTCAAGGCCTGGACTTAAGCATTTTGATGAGAATAACTGTATATTGTGAATATAGGCTACAGAGTATACTGTATACATTATAAGATAAGCTAAGATATACTTTATATATCACACAGAGTATGTACAGTATATATTTTTACATTAGTACTGTATACATTTTTACATTTTCTCCTGGAGGTGTGCCGCAAGATTTTTTCTGTGAAAAAAGTGTGCCTTGGCTCAAAAAAGGTTGAAAAACACTGGGGTAGAGGACCCCTCCCTCCTATAGGTCCATAAAGCCTGGTCTTTTTAATGCACAGAACAGGTTCCAGACCCAGAGGGGGCTGCAGCTCTGAATGCACCACATGTTGTAAAAACAATGAAGATTACATTTATTATTGCCATGAACTGGATGGAACATAAATTGAAAAGCATTGCTGATATTTTTGTTTGTTTGCATCAACAAATATTTTGCAGCCGCTTAAATGAATTAATTGATAAACATATAAGCTTTTTGCTTCGGCCTTCTCCTTTTGAGCCTTTTTTTTTCGTCTTTCTTGAATTATGTGTGCATGTTATTGTGTATTGTCAAACTGCTCAAATAAAAATACTACTACTACACTCCAAAACCATAAACTATTCCAGCTGTGCTGCTGTCAGTGTCCTGGTCTTTACCAGCTGTGTTCCATCCATGTAGCTTTTACCACACACTACTTCAGTGAAACACTCGAGACACACATATTTTGTACTTTATCACGGGCTGCCCCCTTTTTATCCACTTATGGTGGATATTTATATACATTGTGTTTGTGTATGGGTGTATACCTACGTGTGCATGTATGTACATATTTAGCATATTTTGTTATGTATATCTTCTGTGTATTTAGGTCACGTGACAGTCCTTGCTCACGTGACTGGATCTTCAAAATTGCTACCAGGTGTGTCTGGATTGTATGTCTGACAAAGGGCCTCAGCCCAAAACGTAACAGTTTTTGGTGTGTAAATAAAATACACTTATTGGGAGCCACATAGCTGTGCGGATTTTGTTCACTGCTTTTACGTCTTACATTCTTTTAATCCAGCACGCTAGCTCAAACTACAGGGATGTGCGGCGTTATTTGAAACTTCCAAAGCATGGTGCTGCCACCACCATGTTTGACAGTGGGGATGGTGTGTTCAGGGTGATGAGCTGTGTTGCTTTTACGCCAAACATATCGTTTTGCATTGTGGCCAAAAAGTCTGATTTTGGTTTCATCTGACCAGAGCACCTTCTTCCACATGTTTGGTGTGTCTCCCAGGTGGTTTGTGGCAAACTTTAAACAAGACTTTTTATGGATATCTTTGAGAAATGGCTTTCTTCTTGCCACTCTTCCATAAAGGCTAGATTTGTGCAGTGCACGACTGATTGTTGTCCTATGGACACTCTCCCACCTCAGCTGTAGTTATCTGCAGTTCATCCAGAGTGATCATGGGCCTCTTGGCTGCATCTCTGATCAGTCTTCTCCTTGTTTGAGATGAAAGTTTGGAGGGACGGCCGGGTCTTGGTAGATTTGCAGTGGTCTGATACTCCTTCCATTTCAATATAATTGCTTGCACAGTGCTCCTTGAGATGTTTAAAGCTTGGGAAATCTTTTTGTATCCAAATCCGGCTTTAAACTTCTCCACAACAGTATCTCGGACCTGCCTGGTGTGTTCCTTTGTCTTCATGGTTCTCTCTGCGTCATCAGTCATTTAGGACAACATTGGATCATTCAAAGATCCTCACTGAACTTCTGGACTGAGTTTGCTGCACTGAAAGTAAAGGGGCCGAATAATACTTTGTCTAAACGGATCCACTGTGGGGTACTTCAGGGCAGCTGCCTCGGACCACTCTTCTGTCTGCAGTCTACAGTCTAACCTTATCTACCTCACAAATCTGAGTCATGTCTGCTGACGACTCCAATTCAAATGTGAATGAAATATCATTCAGAGAGAGAGTAGAGACCAGAGAGAGACCAGAGACCAGAGAGAGCAACCAGAGACCAGAGAGCGATAGCAGAGACCAGAGAGAGAGAGAGCAGAGACCAAGAGAGAAACCAGAGAGAGAGACCAGGGAGGTCTGAGATCCATCACTGCCTTCACGGTACCGTTAGCCTTGATAAAAATACTGAAACATCATTTTGAACATGCAACTCTGCGCCCGGGGTCATGTGACATCCTGCGCCCGCTCACCTGAGGAGCCGTGGTCGCCGTAGTAACAGACTTGCCCCAGATGTTGGTTCTCTTCAGGACCGGAGCTGAGGAGTTGACTTATTATACCTGTTTTTAGTGGGAGAAGAAACCGGAGCACCTGGAGAAAACCTACACAGCCACAGGGAGAACATGCAAACTCCACTCAGAAAGGCTCTCGGGTTGAACCAAAACCAAACAGTTACCGTTTATGGACTCTGGTTCGTCTCCCTGGTCTGACCCTGTATCCCCGAGTCCTCTGCAGCTGTATTGTAGCTGTGTGCACGGCTTGTGACAGCTGCAGCAGCTCAGAACCCACAGGTTTCATGAGTTCATTTCTTTCACATTAGTGACTTTTAGACTGATGTAAATATGGTCTGGACGTGGTTCTGCTGGAAACAAACATCTCCTGTGGGGGGTGAGTAGAGCACCTCCCTCTCCCTCCCCCCCCCTCTAAGTAAAAGCAGCAGAGGAGACGAGTTGATAGAAAACAGTTTATTCGACAGTGTCCTCGGAGCACAGACCCGTACAAAATAAAAAAAACATCTACAAACTTTGAAACAAAGATAACTTCCATCTACACAGGTGTTAAAAACACATCAGCATGAACACAGATACAGGTGTGGGGCCCCCTGCTGGACGGGAGGGGCTCAGCGGCCAAGGCTGTAGTATGGTCCGGGCACACTGGGGGGCGACGGTGAGTACAGCAGTCACATGGGCACTTGGAGAGAGCAGAGGGGGAGAGAGACCAGAGAGGGAGGGAGACCGGAGAGGGAGAGAGACCTGAGGGAGAGAAACCAGAGACTGAGGGAGAGAGACCTGAGGGAAAGAGACCAGAGACAGAGAGAGAGAGAGAGTAGAGGGAGAGAGACCAGAGATGGAGGGAGAGAATAGAGAGGAGGAGGGAGCAGAAAGGGGGAGAGACCAGAGGGAGGTGGAGGGAACAGAGACAGCAGAAAGAGGGAGAAGTAGAGACTGGAGAGAGAAGAGACCAGAAACAGTGAGAAACCAGATACAGAGAGAGAGAGCCAAAGACCAGGGAGAGACCAGGAAGAGACCAGGAAGAGGAGGAGAGGGGAGGTAGCACGAGGTGAGAGGAGGTAGCGACAGGAAGCTTCTAGAGGTAGCTAAGCGGGAGAGTGCGGAGGTCGCAGAGGTAGCGGTGCTGAGAGAACGTTAACGGCAAAGTCTCGGTCTCACTCAAACCAGAAACACACATTTACTTTGTCATTTCCTGTTTTAAACCATGGGACCATAAAAGGAGAACTTAGATGTGAAGCAAGTACCAGAGGTTAAAATGGATTCTGCCTGTAACTCTCTCCGTCACCACCAGAGGGAGCAAAAGTGACCGGTGGAGACTTGAACCAAAACTAACTTATGGGCAAAACCTTTGTTAACTATGAGTGATGTCATAGTAATGTCATACTGTTACAGGACTGAGACTGGAGCTTTGACACAGAAGGGGCGGGGCTAAACATCTCCAGTTTGTGCAGAGGGACAGCGGCGATACGTCTCTAACGTCTGAAGGAAATATAAAATCAGTAAAAACCCAGTGAAGCTGCCTTCCTCACTTTACCGTCTGACAATTCCCTCTACAACACTGAGCTGGAGGCGTTTCTCCTGCAGACGAGACCGGGACGAGACCGAGGGTTTTAGGAGCACAGACATGACACTATCGCTTTGTGGAACAGAGGTGTGAGGTTAGAGGTCGGGGCCTCCTCCTGGTCTCCTCCTGGTCTCCTCCTGGTCTCACACACATCTACAGTGTTGTACTTAAGGAGCAGGAGGTAGATTCTCAAGACGAGATCGAGGGAAGGAGAAATCCTGTGTGTGAGACGGACAACAGCTCCAGCGCCAGGGGTGAGGGTCAGAGCGAGGGGTGAGGGTCAGAGCGAGGGGGGAGGGTCAGAGCGAGGGGGGAGGGTCAAAGCGAGGGGGGAGGGTCAGAGCGAGGGGGAGGGTCAAAGCGAGGGGGGAGGGTCAGGGGAGAGGGGTCACAGAGAGAGATCCAGTCGTCTGTCAGCAACTACAGCTATAACTAATGTTTACACTCATCCCCTCTGGCTCCTCCCCCCTCCCCTCTGACTCCACCCCTCTGGCCCCAGCTCCACCCCTCTGCCCTCTGGCTCCTCCCCTCTCCTGAACAGTGTGCGACGTGTGTGATGAGGGGCAGGAGGAGGTCAGTCTCTTCCCCCAGGAACAGGAGCCACAGGAGGAACAGGCACCGCCTCAGGCTGCACCGGAGGACCAGGGTCTGAGAGAGACACACACATGTTAGACACACACACAGGACTACCAGGGTCTGAGAGAGACACACACACACACACACACACACAGGAGGACCAGGGTCTGAGAGAGACACACACATGTTAGACACACACAGGACTACCAGGGTCTGAGAGAGACACACACATGTTAGACACACACACACACACACACACACACACACACAGGAGGACCAGGGTCTGAGAGAGACACACACACACACACACACACACAGGAGGACCAGGGTCTGAGAGAGACACACACATGTTAGACACACACACACACACAGGAGGACCAGGGTCTGAGAGAGACACACACACACACACACACACACACACAGGAGGACCAGGGTCTGAGAGAGACACACACATGTTAGACACACAGGACTACCAGGGTCTGAGAGAGACACACACATGTTAGACACACACACACACACAGGAGGACCAGGGTCTGAGAGACACACACACACACACACACACACACACACAGGAGGACCAGGGTCTGAGAGAGACACACACATGTTAGACACACACACACACACAGGAGGAACAGGGTCTGAGAGAGACACACACATGTTAGACACACACACACACACAGGAGGAACAGGGTCTGAGAGAGACACACACATGTTAGACACACACACAGGACTACCAGGGTCTGAGAGAGACACACACATGTTAGACACACACACACACACACACACACACAGGAGGACCAGGGTCTGAGAGAGACACACACATGACACACACACACACACACACACACACACACACACACACACACACAGGAGGACCAGGGTCTGAGAGAGACACACACATGACAGACACACACACACACAGTTACTCACACATGCCGTTGGGAGCTCCAGGATGACGAGGAGGCATCATGGGGGGCATCCCCCCTGGAGGAGGACCCGCTGAGGGGGGCCCGGCCATCATCCGGCCTGGCATGGGTTGGCCTGGTCCCATTGGGCCTGGGACACATGGAAGCACACATATATAAATATACACACATATACATTTAGTGACAAACAGAGATTGAGCACTCACCCGTCTGGCCTGGGTGGTGCGGGGCCATGGGGTGGTGCCCCATGGGGGGGTAAGCCGGGTGCATGGCTGCCCCCGGTGGGGGGCCTCCATGATGTGGAGGGGGGGCCCCGTGGTGAGGAAGGGGGCCTGCATGGTGTGGTGGGGGGCCTCCTGGGTGCATGCCTGGAGGAGGGGGCCCAGAGTGAGGGACTGGGTGAGGCCCTGTGTGAGCCGGATGAGGCCCTTGATGAGGCCCTGGATGAGGTCCTGGATGAGGGCCTTGAGGCCCCTGGGGGCCCTGAGCTGCTGCGGCTGCTGCAGCCTGCTGCTCCATCTGCTGCCGTGCCTTCATCTCTGCGTACTTCAACTGCTCCATGTGGAAGGCCTGTCGCTCTGTCAGCAACTGCTGCCTCTGCAGCTCCAGCTAGGACCAGAGAGACCAGGGTTATGGACCAGGGTTATGGACCAGGGTTATGGACCAGGGTTATGGACCAGGGTTATGGACCAGGGTTATGGACCAGGGTTATGGACCAGGGTTATGGACCAGGGTTATGGACCAGGGTTATGGACCAGGGTTATGGACCAGGGTTATGGACCAGGGTTATGGACCAGGGTTATGGACCAGGGTTATGGACCAGGGTTATGGACCAGGGTTATGGACCAGGAGAAACCAGGGTTATGGACCAGGAGAAACCAGGGTTATGGACCAGGAGAAACCAGGGTTATGGACCAGGAGAAACCAGGGTTATGGACCAGGAGAAACCAGGGTTATGGACCAGGAGAAACCAGGGTTATGGACCAGGAGAGAACAGAGAAAGAGACCAGAGAGAGACCAGAGAGAGACCAGAGAGAGACCAGAGAGAGACCAGGGACATCACACCATGATGAGAGCAGTGTGTTCTTTCTGAAGATTATATAAACCTATCTCTTCATGCACCATTTACAGCTGAGAGTGGGACAGGCTCAGATTATTCACAGGGAGAGAGAGAAACAGAGATAGAGACAGAGAGGAGAGAGAGAAACAGAGATAGAGACAGAGAGGAGAGAGAGAAACAGAGAAAGAGAGATAGAGAGAGGAGAGAGAGAAACAGAGATAGAGAGAGAGACAGAGAGAAAAACTCACCGCCTCCTTCTCTCGGTCCATGATAGTTGTGTGTGTGTGTGTGTGTGTCTCACCGCCTCCTTCTCTCGGTCCATGATAGTTGTGTGTGTGTGTGTCTGTGTGTCTCACCGCCTCCTTCTCTCGGTCCATGATAGTTGTGTGTGTGTGTCTGTGTGTCTCACCGCCTCCTTCTCTCGGTCCATGATAGTTTCCAGTTCTTCGAAGTGTCTCAGTTTAATTTCCAACTTCTTCATCTGAGTTTCCACCAACAACGCCACGAGAGACTTTATCTTCCTCTCCTCCACCGCCGCCAGGTGCTACACACAGTTACACACAACACAACACACACAGTTACACACAACACAACACACAGTTACACACACACACACACACACAGTTACACACACACACACACAGTTACACACACACAGTTACACACTTACACACACACACAGTTACACACACACACACACACACACACAGGGATGTACCGATCCAGATTTTTTCTAATCCGATCTGTTTCCAATATTCTTAAATATTGTTTTGCCGATACTGATCCGATATAAATTTTTGTAATATTTTCAAAGTATTAAAGATTTTGCATTTTTACCTGAATAAATCTGTTTGTGGTGTCGCTAACACACGTTAGCTTTGTTTACAGACACAGGGAACGAGGCTCAGGGAATGTGTTCAGTCTCCCCCATAGTTAGCCCTGGTTTAGCCCTGGTTTAGCCCTGGTTTAGCCCTGGTTTAGCCCTGGTTTAGCCCTGGTTTAGCCCTGGTTTATCTCTCTCATAGCTCTCTGATATCTCTCATAGCTCTCTCATAGCTCTTTCATAGCCGCACGGAGGAAAAAGTTAATCTCTTGCTGTCGCCGCATGCCCCAGGTCTCTGTGTCCACTGCCTCTCCTGCCGCACATGCTAAGCCTCGCACAGACGTGTAGAACCACTGACACGGCACTGAAAAACAATCTTAGATCCATGGACGCTACGCATTGTGCGGTTGTTGTTTTTGCATTTCCCAGAAAGTTTTGCGGTTGACGCTTGGCTGTGATAGGTTGAGAAGCCTCTGCCTACATCCCCCAGAATGCCGCGCGCAGGCTTTACTTCCTGTGTTTTTGTCCTGTTTTTTCTAACGGAGTGACGTTAAACTAACATTCTATCGACCCTGTTTTCTGTTGGTATCGAACACGTGTCTATCACAGTATCTGTTGTTTTATCGCCCAGCCCTAGTTTTACATTGTACTGAGTTTACAGCTGCTGAAAACTGACGTAAATCGTGACAAAATACCCATATCGGCCCCGATACCGATACTGAATATCAGATCGGTACATCCCTAGTTACACACAGTTACACACACGTGTCTAGAGTAAAGACCTTGGCTTTAGTGGCAGCAGAGGCCAGTGCAGCTGCAGCAGCGGTGGCGATGTTTCCTTCTCCGATGTCGTGCACCAGCTTCTTCCTCCTCCTCTCCTCCGCCTCCTCCGAGGCTCCTTTCTCCTCCTTCTCCTTCTCTGTGTCTGAGGAGGTCTCCATGGCCTCCTCCTTCTCCTTATCTACAAATCACATGTTTTAGGAAAGAAGTCGTCCCATCCAGGAGTCTGACAGACTGCAGGATGGGAGCAGCGGCTCTACTCCGAGCACAGACAGTAGACCTACCTGCAGTGCACTCCTTGTCCTGCTCCTCCTCCGCCTCCTCCTTCTCTGACGTCTCCGCTGCCTCCACCTCCTTCTTCACCTTCTCAGTGGGCTCAGTTTTATCTGGTTTCTCTGCAGATTCAGAGGGTTTCTCTGCTTCTTCTTTAGACTCCGCCTGAGACGCACAACAGCTCAGTGTGTGTGTGTGTGTGTGTCTGTGTGTGCGTCTGTGTGTGCGTCTGTGCGTGTGTCTGTGCGTGTGTCTGTGCGTGTGTCTCTGTGCGTGTGTGTGTCTGTGTGTGTGTATTACCTTGTCTCCCTGCTGAGAGTCTGTGTGTGTGTGTCTGTCTGTGTGTGTCTGTGTGTGTTGCCTTGTCTCCCTGCTGAGAGTCTGTGTGTGTCTGTCTGTGTGTTACCTTGTGTGTGTGTGTGTGTGTCTGTGTGTTACCTTGTCTCCCTGCTGAGAGTCTGTGTCCGTGTCCATCTTTTCTGCTTCCGAAGTTTCTGGAAAATATGTACATTTATATTATAATAAAAATATATTCACATTGTAGGATTTTTAAAGAATTCATTTGTAAATTATACAAATCGATATCGGCGCCGATACCAGAAAAAAAACTGGATCGTATATATCTGCGTAGAGAGCTGCGGCGTGCAGACGATCCAGTTTATTTATTTTTACTAGGGCTGTCAAACGATTAAAAATGTTTCAAGATTAATCACATTTTTAACATTCTATTTCAAATCCAGTCTGAAGTTAAATGAGATGAAATGTAACGACACGTGTCCTTCAGACCAAAGGTTCTTCAGTCTGTCAGATTCACAACCTTTGGGCACAACCATAATGAGCTGTTCATGAAAGGGAAATTTACCACAGGTCACACACAGGTCACACACAGGTCACACACAGGCCGTGCTGGTGTTAGCGGCTCACGGCCGTGCTGGTGTTAGCGTGTGTGACTAGCGTGTGTTGCTGTGACTTCAGTTCACAGCAAACAGCCCTGCGGTCACGCGTTACCAGAAACCTGCTCTGTCATCACACGCAGCGTTCTGAGTGATATTATGGATAAATGGGCGGGTCAGTCGGACATGCGTTAATTTTTTTTTTACGCGTTAATGAAAAATGTAATTAACGCGAGTTAACGCAATAATTTTGACAGCCCTAATTTCTACACAAACATACCAGGCGCTGCAATGTCTTAAAATGAATTGTGCATTATATACGTATAAAGTAAGTAATAAGTAAAATAAAGTAATTTGTCAGATGGCACGCGTATTCGTCACTTCCTCGTGACGCTCTGCAACAACAACAACAGGACCAAGCGGTGTTTTTACACCTTCATCAACGAGTCAACCTCATGCATATGCAAATGAGATGTTTCAAGACGCGGCGAGAAACTAGAGAAATACAACACGACTACGCACCACGAGAAACAATACTCTCATCTACAGCCGAATACTCTCATCTACAGCCGAATACTCTCATCTACAGCCGAATACTCTCATCTACAGCCGAATACTCTCATCTACAGCCGAATACTCTCATCTACAGCCGAATACTCTCATCTACAGTCGAATACTCTCATCTACAGTCGAATACTCTCATCTATAGTCGAATACTCTCATCTATAGCCGAATACTCTCATCTATAGCCGAATACTCTCATCTATAGCCGAATACTCTCATCTATAGCCGAATACTCTCATCTATAGCCGAATACTCTCATCTATAGCCGAATACTCTCATCTATAGCCGAATACTCTCATCTATAGTCGAATACTCTCATCTATAGCCGAATACTCTCATCTATAGCCGAATACTCTCATCTATAGCCGAATACTCTCATCTATAGCCGAATACTCTCATCTATAGCCGAATACTCTCATCTATAGCCGAATACTCTCATCTATAGCCGAATACTCTCATCTATAGTCGAATACTCTCATCTATAGCCGAATACTATCATCTATAGTCGAATACTCATCTATAGTCGAATACTCATCTATAGTCGAATACTCATCTATAGTCGAATACTCATCTATAGTCGAATACTCATCTATAGTCGAATACTCATCTATAGTCGAATACTCTCATCTATAGTCGAATACTCTCATCTATAGTCGAATACTCTCATCTATAGTCGAATACTCTCATCTATCGCTGAATACTCTCATCTATAGTCAAATACTCTCATCTATAGTCAAATACTCTCATCTATAGCTGAATACTCTCATCTGAAGTCGAGTACTCATCTATAGTCGAGTACTCATCTATAGTCGAATACTCTCAGTCGCACACATACATCTGAAATCCAGTAAAAGCGACGGCGCGTTTGTTTGTTGTATGTGATTTTTATTTATTTAAACACATTTAATATTTGTGCATTTATATTCAGTAAATAAAGAAGGTATGATACGATGTAACGTTTTCTGTGGACATGAGCAGCTCTTTGTAGTTTCAGTATCACACCTTTATGTTCAATCCATTTTTATCTGGAAAGTTTAGGGCTTTAGTTTATCCACTGCTTTGGCAGTTACGCCCCCGGGTCTACGCCCCCGGGTCTACGCCCCCGGGTCTACGCCCCCGGGTCTACGCCCCCGGGTCTACGCCCCCGGGTCTACGCCCCCGGGTCTACGCCCCCGGGTCTACGCCCCCGGGTCTACGCCCCCGGGTCTACGCCCCCGGGTCTACGCCCCCGGGTCTACGCCCCCGGGTCTACGCCCCCGGGTCTACGCCCCCGGGTCTACGCTGCAGGAGGACAGACTCCCGTTCAGTTCATAGCAAACTAAAGCAGGATAATCAATGATAATTGGGCGGCACAGCGGCTGAGTGGTTAGCACTCTCACTTCTCAGCAAGAAGGTCCTGGGTTTGAATCCCGGTTGGAACATGGCCTTTCTGAGTGGAGTTTGCATGTTCTCCCTGTGTCTGCGTAGGTTTCCTCCGAGTGCTCCGGTTTCCCCTACCACTAAAAACATGTGCAATAGGTCAGTGCCTGCTGTACTGGCCCCTCCCATCTCTGTGTCAGAGACTAATGCCCACAACTGTAAACCGCTTTGACTCTGGCCTGAGAAAGGACTTCGACTGAAGACCAGGAGAACCAGGTGGACCATATTTATTCAGTCTAATGCACTGTGGTTATGATGTGAATGTACCTGTCTATCTCCGTTAAATGCCTTAAGTATGTACTGTAATATACGGATAACCAGGACCCACCTGGTTCCTCTCCTGGTGGATGTACTGTAATATACGGATAACCAGGACCCACCTGGTTCCTCTCCTGGTGGATGTACTGTAATATACGAATAACCAGGACCCACGTGGTTCCTCTCCTGGTGGATGCACTGTAATATACGAATAACCAGGACCCACCTGGTTCCTCTCCTGGTGTATGTACTGTAATATACGAATAACCAGGACCCACCTGGTTCCTCTCCTGGTGGATGTATAGGGTCATCTATAACAACGACAAACCCTGGTTCACTGCTAAACTCCGGCAGCTCAGGAAAGCAAAGGAGTCTGCTTTCAGGGAGGGGGACCGCAGCGGCTACAAAGCAGCTAAATATCAGTTCAGGAAAGAACTGAAAGCAGCCAAGTCCCGGCACAGAGAACGACTACAGGAGCAGTTTGGTAACAACGATACTGCTTCTGTCTGGAGGGGCCTACGGGAGATCACCAACTTTTTTCTCTGCTTCAAATCCTCCATCATTGTCCCCGTCCCGAAGAAGCCCAGGATCACAAGACTCAACGACTACAGACCTGTTGCACTTACGTCTGTCGTCATGAAAGTCCCATCTCAAGTCCCTCACCTCCCCCCTCCTGGACCCCCTGCAGTTCGCCTACAGAGCCAACAGATCTGTAGACGACGCCATTAACCTGGCCCTCCACATCCTACAGCACCTGGACTCCCCGGGGACCTACGCCAGGGTCCTGTTCGTGGACTTCAGCTCTGCCTTCAACACGATCCTGCCATCCCTGCTCCAGGACAAGCTCTCCCAGCTCAACGTGCCCGATTCCACCTGCAGGTGGATCACTGACTTCCTGACAGGCAGGAAGCAGCGAGTGCGTCTGGGGAAGAATGTCTCGGACTCTCGGATTATAAATACAGGAGTCCCACAGGGCTGTGTTCTTTCTCCCCTGCTCTTCTCCCTGTACACCAACCACTGCACCTCCAGCCACGACTCCGTGAAGCTGATCAAGTTCGCGGACGACACCACCCTCATTGGACTCATCTCCAACAACGATGAGTCCGCCTACAGGAGGGAGGTGGACCGGCTGGTGTCCTGGTGCAGTGGTAACAACCTGGAGCTGAACGCCCAGAAGACAGTGGAGATGATTGTGGACTTCAGGAAGAGCACTGTCCCCCCGCCCCCACCCTCCGTGATGGACTCCCCCATCACCTCTGTGGAGTCCTTCCGTTTCCTGGGCACCACCATCACCCATCAGCTCCCTCATCAAGAAGGCCCAGCAGAGGATGTACTTCCTGCGGCAGCTCAGGAAAGCCAAGCTGCCTGCACAGATGTTGGTGCAGTTCTACACGGCCATCATCGAGTCCATCCTCACCTCCTCCATCACCTCCTCCATCACCTCCTCCGTCACCGTGTAGTTCGCCGGAGCCACAGTCAGGGACAAACAGAGACTACAGCGCATTGTGCGCTCTGCAGAGGAAGTGATCGGCCGCAGCCTTCCATCGCTGCAGGACCTGTACGTCGCCCGAGCTCGAGGCCGGGCTGGTCGTATCACAGCCGACCCCTCTCACCCTGCACATGGACTATTCCGACCACTCCCCTCAGGCAGGAGACTGCGGTCCATCAGGAATAGAACATCCCGCCACAAGAACAGTTTCTTCCCCTCTGCTGTTGGACTCTTGAACACTTCTTAACCTGTCCCCCCGCCCTTATAAAGTCACTTTACTGCCCATCATACGTCACTTTACTTCACTGTACTGCTGTCACCTTACACTGTGTGCACCATGTGCACTTGTATTAGGGATGTAAAAAACTATGAATTTTCATGACCGACCACCGAGCCTCATTAACCGGTTGAAACCGGTTAACCGCGTAGTTTAAAATAGTCCACGTTCTTTGAAATAACAGCCATTTCGAGCCCCGTACTTTTCATAAGTGCAGCTGAGCGTTCTACTGGATCAGAGCCGAGACAGCGGCACCAAAACCCGCAACAGCTTCGGCACCTTTGCGCACAGATAACTGCTGTTTTAATCTTCCCATTCTTCTGTGCTGCGGCTTAAAGCATTTTTAAGCAAAAGACAGCTCGTCCACATGGTCAGGGCAGCGAGTGACGAGCCGCGTCTCGCAGGTTTCCGCTAAAGTTTAAAAGTGATCAGTGTGGAGCTGATGCCGAGGACCAGCAGCACAAACATGGTCCATGTGGTTTGACTGGAGCCGTGTATTTGCAAGAATGCTTTGGGCTCCGTGACACAGAGGAGCGCGACAGACCGGTATGTGTGTGTGTACAATACATGTATGTATGTGTGTATATATCTGTGTGTGTGTATATGTATGTGTGTGTGTGCGTGCAATACATGTATGTATGTGTGTGTAAATATAAGCTCCAATGTAGTTCTGACCCGCACCAGTGTGCAACTAGCAGGCGGTAACAGAGGGGAGAGATGATGCGTGTGGATGTTACGTGTCAATGGAGGGGGGGGAATGTGTGTGTGTGTGTGCGTGCATATGTGGCGCGTACGGCGTGAGAGTCGGCCCAGAGTTTACAGTTACATTGGCGCACACAGCTAGATAGGGACCCGCTCGTCACATCGTGCCAATAGGGCTTAAAATAGCGTTATGAAGAGACCTCCCCTCTCCCCCTTTTCTCTTTTTTAACCGACAGCTTTGACCGGTTAACGCTGTGACGGTCAACCACCGGTTAAACGGTCACCGATTTACATCCCTAACTTGTATATTGTAAATAGTAACTGTAACTCTATTTTAAACTTAAATTTATTCCTTTATTACACTGAGCCAAAGCTTACGTGGCAATAAAAATTATTCTGATGTCCTGCAATATACGAATAACCAGGACCCACCTGGTTCCTCTCCTGGTGGATGTGCTGACACAGATTTAACAGTCTTTAACGCACGAGGAGACGCAGAGAAAGGGGAAAAATATGCAGATTTTTGCACGATGACCCAGTTTCTGCCTCCCCCCTCTCTCCTCCTCCTCCCCCCTCCCCATCTGCCACTGTTCTAATCCAGCGCTTACAACCAGTAAACACACGTGCGACTGCATTCAGTTAGAGGTGACGCCCCCTGCAGGACAGAGAGGGCAGTACGAGCCCAACAACCCAACAACATCCTATAATCTTAATCCCATTCTCTTCCTTCTTCTTCCTTATTCTTCCTTTTTCTTCTTCTGCTTCCCTCTCATCTTCTTCTTCCTTATTCTTCCTTCTTATTCCTCTTCTTTTCTCTCTTCTTTCCTTCTTCTTCTCTTTCTCTTCTAAACATAGTAGCTTTATTTTACTTATGCTCCATCATCCCCCATTATTATTTCCCTTTCCCCTCTCCCAATATTTCCATTCCCCCCCCCCTACCCTACCCATTTAATCCCCTCCCCTTACCACCCCTCCCACCATACATTTAAACCTCCCCCCCACCATACATTTACACCCACCCCACCTCCATTTACACCCTCCCCACCTACCATTTACCACCCTCCCCATCCCACCTACCATTTACACCCTCCACCTACCCCATTTACACCCTACCTACCATTTACCCCCTACACTTTTACCCTCCCACCTACCACCACATTATACACCCCCATTCACCATTTTCACCCTTAATCCATTTACACCCTACCCCACCTACATTTTGTTACCTAAACCCTTATAATTCTCCCTCCTCCATCCCCCTCCCCCCCCTTCACCCCCCCAACCACCCCTCCCCTCCCCCCCTCACCACCCACATCCCCCTCCCCCACCCATCACATTCTAACGCTAGCTCTGTGAAGGGAAGTGCCCACATGATGATGCTAACGCTAGCTCTGAGAAGGGAAGTGCACACATGATGATGCTAACGCTAGCTCTGAGAAGGGAAGTGCACACATGATGATGCTAACGCTAGCTCTGAGAAGGGAAGTGCACACATGATGATGCTAACGCTAGCTCTGAGAAGGGAAGTGCCCACATGATGATGCTAACGCTAGCTCTGAGAAGGAAAGTGCACACATGATGATGCTAACGCTAGCTCTGAGAAGGGTAGTGCACACATGATGATGCTAACGCTAGCTCTGAGAAGGGAAGTGCACACGTGATGATGCTAACGCTAGCTCTGAGAAGGGAAGTGCCCACATGATGATGCTAACGCTAGCTCTGAGAAGGGAAGTGCACACATGATGATGCTAACGCTAGCTCTGAGAAGGGAAGTGCACACGTGATGATGCTAACGCTAGCTCTGAGAAGGGAAGTGCACACGTGATGATGCTAACACTAGCTCTGAGAAGGGTAGTGCACACATGATGATGCTAACGCTAGCTCTGAGAAGGGAAGTGCACACATGATGATGCTAACGCTAGCTCTGAGAAGGGAAGTGCCAAGTCTGGCTCCTCAGTAACGTGTGAAATCCTGTGGTTTCTCTGATGTTGTCTTTGTGAATCCAGGTATGACCATATAAGATATAATTATTTCTTTATCTGTTCCATTAGCATTAGCTTTAGGCTGTGACAAGGCAGAACCTGTTGCTAAGACGGTTGCTATGACAAACTGCCTGAATGAAGGCCTCTGATTGGTCAGCAGCCCACCATCCAGGTCTCTGGAGGATCTTACCCAGAGCGGCTCTGGCTGCAGCGGAGGCCACGCGGGGGTCGACCACAGAGGCCAGGAACGCCACGGTGCTCATGACTGGGTTCCCTGATTGGCTGAAGGGGATGGGCTGATAGGCCAGAGGTCCCAGGGAGCTCTCGGTGCTCTCCAGGTACGGGTCCTCGATCGGCAGACGCAGGAAGTGCAGGATACACTCATCCTGGGTCCTGGAGCCAACGTGCTCCGACACTTTGTTCCAGTCGTCTTTGAACATCTCCAGGGCCTGGCACACGTCAAGAACACATCAAGAACACGTCAGGAACACGTCAGGCACACGTCAGGCACACGTCAGGCACACGTCAGGCACACGTCAAGAACACGTCAAGAACACGTCAGGCACACGTCAGGCACACGTCAGGCACACGTCAGGCACACGTCAGGCATAGTATTTGGTCCCTCCCCCTCTGGTCCCTCCGGTCCCTCTGTACCTCCAGGAGCAGTAGCGTTTCCTGTTCGGTCCAGTCTCTGGTCGTGGGACTTCCTTTGCTCTGTTCAAACAAAAACACATCATTTTAGAATCGACAGACAGACACACACAGACATAGACACAGACAGACACACACAGACATAGACACAGACAGACACACACAGACATAGACACAGACAGACACACACAGACATAGACACAGACAGACACACACAGACCTTTGAGGTCTTCTTGTACAGGTCTGAGCGGAGGTTGAAGTTCTGGAGGTCGATCTTCTCTTTTCCTTTGTCTCCAAAGTTTGCCATCGGAGGAACAGGAGGAATCTGAAAGAAGGAGGTGCAGCTTCAGCTCTGACTCAAGGAGGTGGAGGTGGAGGAGGAGAAGGAGGAGGTGGAGAGAAACCAGCAGAGATAGTGACGCTCACCGTGGGGGGTCGATGGTTGAGGGGCATGAGGCCAGAGGGCGTGTCTGCCAGTACGGTGAAGTGGGGGGTGGGGGGAGGACCCATGGGGAGGGGCCTGCTCTCTGAGTCCACCTGGTAGTTCACCAGACCCCACTGCTCCAGGAACGCATGGACCCTAGACACACACCAGTCAGCAGCAGGTCTCAGGTCCAGGAGCCAGCCCAAGAGCCGGCCCAGGAGCCGGCCCGGGCTCAGTCCAGGAGTCGGTCCACATGTACATACTCTGAGTAACTACACTTTCAAACTAAAAGCAGTCAGATTGACTGCTGTGTCCTGCAGTTCCGTCCATTACCTCATGATGGCGCACACGTCTCCGGTCAGGTTCCGGCGACAGGAAGTGGAGGTGAGATACTCCTGAGGGTTCAGTCTGTACGTGTCAATCATGAAGTTACGATAGGCCAGGTATCTGAGGAGAGAGAGGACAGAGGGTGAGAGAGGGGGGGAGGGGGGGGGGGGTGGGTGAGAGGGTGAGAGAGGCTGAGAGAGGGTGAGAGAGGCTGAGAGAGGCTGAGAGAGGGTGAGAGAGGCTGAGAGAGGCTGAGAGAGGCCGTGAGAGAGGGTGAGAGAGGGTGAGAGAGTGAGAGGGTGAGAGGGTGAGAGAGGGTGAGAGAGGGGAAAGTGGGGTGAGAGAGGGGAAAGTGGGTGAGAGGGGGGAAAGATGGAGTGAGATGGGGAGTGAAAGGGGAGTGAAAGGATAGAGAGGGGGGTGAGAGGGTGGAGAGGGGAAAGAGGGTGAAAGAGGGGGGGGAGAGAGGTTAAAGAGGGTGAGAGGGGTGGGGGGGGAGAGAGGGTGAGAGAGGGGGGGAGAGGGGTGGGGGAGAGGGTGAGAGAGGGTGAGAGAGGGCGAGAGAGGGGGGGGTGAAATAGGTGAGAGAGGACAGAGGGTGAGAGGGGGGGGAGAGGGGAGAGAGGTGAGAGAGGACAGAGGGTGAGAGGGGGGGAGAGGGAGAGAGGTGAGAGGGGTGAGAGGACAGAGGGGGAGAGAAGGGGTGAGAGGGGATAGAGGGGAAAGTGGGTGAGAGAGGGGGAAGAGAGGGGGGAGAGATGGAGTGAGATGGAGTGATAGGGGGAGTGAAAGGGGAGTGAGAGGATAAAGAGGGGGGTGAGAGGGTGGAGAGGGTGAGAGAGGGGAAAGAGGGTGAGAGGTGAAAGAGGGTGAGAGGTGAAAGAGGGTGAGAGAGGGTGAGTGGGGGGGAGGGAGTGAGAGAGGATCCACTCACATCTCTGGAGTTTTGGATTTGTTTTTTCCGTTGAAGAACTCTGGGAGCGCTCTCCTCTCGATCTCGTGGATGCTGCAGAAACACAGTCTCAAACTGGACTCTTTAAAGCCCCCGACTTTGGCCCAGTCTCACCCGGGCCAGCTCTCCTGCGGTCACATGACCCCAGCTCTCCTGCGGTCACATGACCCCAGCTCTACTGCGGTCACATGACCCCAGCTCTACTGCAGTCACATGACCCCAGCTGCAGTGGGACCATAGAGAGGAGGAGGCTCTCACCAGTTGCAGTGGGACCATAGAGAGGAGGAGGCTCTCACCAGTTGCAGTAGGACCATAGAGAGGAGGAGGTTCTCACCAGTTGTAGTCGAACCAGGCGCCGTAGCTCGGGACGATGATGTGATGAGTCTGTTCTGTCACGTTGTCTTCTCCAGAGTCCAGCAGACGGTTCGTTTCACTTTTACCCTGTTCCTCATCGTCCTGAAGACACACACTCTCACTACACACTATCTGTATATACACTAATATACACATATATATACTGACTGTGTATGCATCTATCTCTATACTGACTCTATGGATGCATCTATCTCTCTATACTGACTATGTATGCATCTATCTCTATACTGACTCTATGTATGCATCTCTCTATACTGACTCTATGTATGCATCTCTCTCTATACTGACTCTATGTATGTATCTATCTCTATACTGACTCTATGTATGCATCTATCTCTATACTGACTATGTATGTATCTATCTCTATACTGACTATGTATGCATCTATCTCTCTATACTGACTCCATGTATGCATTGCATCTATCTCTATACTGACTATGGATGCATCTATCTCTCTATACTGACTATGTATGCATCTATCTCTATACTGACTCTATGTATGCATCTCTCTATACTGACTCTATGTATGCATCTCTCTCTATACTGACTCTATGTATGTATCTATCTCTATACTGACTCTATGTATGCATCTATCTCTATACTGACTATGTATGCATCTATCTCTATACTGACTATGTATGCATCTATCTCTATACTGACTCCATGTATGCATTGCATCTATCTCTATACTGACTCTATGTATGCATCTATCTCTCTATACTGACTCTATGTATGCATCTATCTCTATACTGACTATGTATGTATCTATCTCTATACTGACTATGTATGTATCTATCTCTATACTGACTATGTATGTATCTATCTCTCTATACTGACTATGTATGTATCTATCTCTCTATACTGACTATGTATGTATCTATCTCTCTATACTGACTATGTATGTATCTATCTCTATACTGACTCTATGTGCCTGTTAGCATTAGCCTGTTAGCATTAGCCTGTTAGCATTAGCCGGTTAGCATTAGCCGGTTAGCATTAGCCGGTTAGCATTAGCCTTTCACCAAACTGTTTCATTTACAGTTTGAGCTCTTGGTAAAAGTGAGTGACGGTGAAAATCTGATAAAATACTTTCAATAAAAAGCGGTGGAAAACTTTCTTTAGGAGAGTTTCAGAATGTCTTTGATCTAAACATCTGAGAGTAAAGTAACTAAGTATTTCAGAATGTCTTTGATCTAAACATCTGAGAGTAAAGTAACTAAGTATTAAAGTATTAAAGTGTGTAACCTTTCCTCCCGACATTATGGAGTCATCCTCCAGGTCATCTGCAAGAGAAACCCCAGTTTATCCTCAGGAGAGAAACCCCAGTTTATCCTCAGGAGAGAAACCCCAGTTTATCCTCAGGAGAGAAACCCCAGTTTATCTTCAGGAGAGAAACCCCAGTTTATCCTCAGGAGAGAAACCCCAGTTTATCCTCAGGAGAGAAACCCCAGTTTATCCTCAGGAGAGAAACCCCAGTTTATCCTCAGGAGAGAAACCCCAGTTTATCTTCAGGCGAGAAACCCCAGAGTTTATCTTCAGGAGAGAAACCCCAGAGTGTATCTTCAGGAGAGAAACCCCAGATTATCCTCAGGAGAGAAACCCCATAAGCCCACTTTCCCCGCTTTACTGGTTTGCTCTCTCCTCCTCTGGCCCTCTCCTCCTCTGGCCCTCGCCTCCTCTGGCCCTCGCCTCCTCTGGCCCTCGCCTCCTCTGGCCCTCGCCTCCTCCCTCGCCTCCTCTGGCCCTCTCCTCCTCCTCCTCTGGCCCTCGCCCCCTCCTCCTCTGGCCCCCTCCTCCTCTGGCCCCCTCCTCCTCTGGCCCCCTCCTCCTCTGGCCCCCTCCTCCTCTGGCCCCCTCCTCCTCTGGCCCCCTCCTCCTCTGGCCCCCTCCTCCTCTGGCCCCCTCCTCCTCTGGCCCTCTCCTCCTCTGGCCCTCTCCTCCTCTGGCCCTCTCCTCCTCTGGCCCTCTCCTACTCTGGGCCCTCTCCTCCTCTGGCCCTCTCCTCCTCTGGCCCTCTCCTCCTCTGGCCCTCTCCTCCTCTGGCCCTCTCCTCCTCTGGCCCTCTCCTCCTCTGGCCCTCTCCTCCTCTGGCCCTCTCCTCCTCTGGCCCTCTCCTCCTCTGGCCCTCTCCTCCTCTGGCCCTCTCCTCCTCTGGCCCTCTCCTCCTCTGGCCCTCTCCTCCTCTGGCCCTCTCCTCCTCTGGCCCTCTCCTCCTCTGGCCCTCTCCTCCTCTGGCCCTCACCTCCTCTGGCCCTCACCTCCTCTGGCCCTCACCTCCTCTGGCCCTCACCTCCTCTGGCCCTCACCTCCTCTGGCCCTCACCTCCTCTGGCCCTCACCTCCTCTGGCCCTCACCTCCTCTGGCCCTCACCTCCTCTGGCCCTCACCTCCTCTGGCCCTCACCTCCTCTGGCCCTCACCTCCTCTGGCCCTCACCTCCTCTGGCCCTCACCTCCTCTGGCCCTCACCTCCTCTGGCCCTCACCTCCTCTGGCCCTCACCTCCTCTGGCCCTCACCTCCTCTGGCCCTCACCTCCTCTGGCCCTCACCTCCTCTGGCCCTCACCTCCTCTAGCCCTCACCTCCTCTGGCCCTCACCTCCTCCTCTGGCCCTCACCTCCTCCTCTGGCCCTCACCTCCTCCTCTGGCCCTGACCACGTTGTCTGGCCCTCTCCTCCTCCTCCTCTGGCCCTCTCCTCCTCTGGCCCTGACCACGTTGTCTGGCCCTCTCCTCCTCCTCTGGCCCTCTCCTCCTCCTCCTCCTCTGGCCCTCTCCTCCTCCTCTGGCCCTCTCCTCCTCCTCTGGCCCTCTCCTCCTCCTCTGGCCCTCTCCTTCTCTGGCCCTCACCACCTCACCTCCTCCTCTGGCCCTGACCACGTCGTCTGGCCCTCTCCTCCTCCTCCTCTGGCCCTCTCCTCCTCCTCTGGCCCTCACCCCTCCTCTGGCCCTGACCACGTTGTCTGGCCCTCTCCTCCTCCTCTGGCCCTCTCCTCCTCCTCCTCCTCTGGCCCTCTCCTCCTCCTCTGGCCCTCTCCTCCTCCTCTGGCCCTCTCCTCCTCCTCTGGCCCTCTCCTTCTCTGGCCCTCACCACCTCACCTCCTCCTCTGGCCCTGACCACGTCGTCTGGCCCTCTCCTCCTCCTCTGGCCCTCTCCTCCTCCTCCTCTGGCCCTCACCTCCTCTGCCCCTTCGCCCTCCCTTGCTTCCTCTGCCTCCTCCTCTTGAGAACAGATTGACACATACCCACTTCTCCTTTCATTGGAGTGCTGTCGTCCTTCTTTGAATTTGCTGAAACAAAAAAACATCAGATTTACTGATCAGAAGAATCTGCCCCCTCGCACTCACCCGTCTCCACCTGTCACTCACCCGTGTCCCCCCCCACCTGTCACTCACCCGTCTCCCCCCACCTGTCACTAACCTTTCCCCCCCCACCTCTCACTCACCCGTCTCCCCCCCACCTCTCACTCACCCGTCTCCCCCCCACACTCTCACTCACCCGTCTCCCCCACCTCTCACTCACCCGTCTCCCCCACCTCTCACTCACCCGTCTCCCCCCCACCTCTCACTCACCCGTCTCCCCCACCTCTCACTCACCCGTCTCCCCCACCTCTCACTCACCCGTCTCCCCCACCTCTCACTCACCCGTCTCCCCCACCTCTCACTCACCCGTCTCCCCCACCTCTCACTCACCCGTCTCCCCCACCTCTCACTCTCACCCGTCTCCCCCACCTCTCACTCACCCGTCTCCTCCCACCTCTCACTCACCCGTCTCCTC